TACAAAATCTTCTCGTCGGAGAAGATGACCGGAGAAGAAAGAAAATAATTGGCTTTTGGCCAATTGTTTTAAATTGTTTTTTATATCCCACCCAAACTTTTTGTCCATTATTTTAAATCCCATCCCCAACTCACATCATTCCCCACTGTCCCACCCTTCCCCCGTTTCCTGCTCTTCTGCTTCCCCCAATGCCCAATGCAATAACATATTCACCCAAATTTCTCTTCTACTTCCCCCAATGCCCAACTTTAACATATTCATCCAATTTCCAATCCCCAACTCCTCAGATTTCAAAACCCTAAAATTCTAAATCCCACACCCACACCCAATCCCATATTATAATTTTATTACTCTAATATCATACCTCCCCATATCTCTAGGCCATCACTATTTTGTTCACAATTCAAGTAAGTTTTTTGGTATTCTAATCTAATCTCAATTAAATTATATTAGATATTGATGAAGATTTTTAGTCTATTATTGATATAATTGTTGATATGTTTTATGTTTAAACTCATTTTATCATTGAAATTTAGATGGAATTTTTGTTTATTGGTTGATTGGTATATGTTTTGTGTTTTTGGTTAAATGTGTAGTTTAGAAATAAGAAATATGGAAAGATTTTTCAAGCCAAAGCCAATAGCACCATCTACTTGTTCGGGTAGTTCGAGCTCAAGACAAAATGAGCGTGACATTGATTTTAATAATCTTGAGAGAGACCCGGAAAAAAGAATTCGAATGAAGGACTATCCTTCTAATATTCAAGATGAGGTCCGAAGAGCACATTTTCAGACTATGAAACCTTGTCGTGGACGCTTGAATTAGGATTTTATAGCTTGTAATGTTGTTTTGCACATGATTTTTGAATGAAATGTATTATATTTAACTTTTCAATGTTATTTTTGTCTATAAATTTTTTGACCTTTATTATTAGGACCCCCGAGTTTAAAATCCTGGATCCGCCACTGCACAGAGGCAGCAAAATTGTTTATTACACTTCCAACTTTTATCGGTTTATAATGCGTCTCAATTACGTCTCAACTAAAGTTATTAAACCTATACGTATGCCACCTCATTTTTTACTTTGGGCACTCAAATTGAAATAATGATAGTGTTTTTTTTATGGTAGATGATAAATAATGTTGGGGAAATTTTTATGTGTTTTTTAAATACTTGTCATGTGGTATACTATTTCACGTGTTATAATATAAATAGATAGTGTTTTAATTCCACGAGACATCATTTCAAATACACCAAAAAGTTTCTCATTATGTTGTGTCACCTTATTATATTTTTATAATAGATATTTGATGTCTGATGAATCAATTACCAAAACATAAATACAAAAAAATATTTTTAACTACTTGAGTTACAAGTTGTACGTGTAAAACTAACCGGAACCTTTATGTTAACACATTCATACCATCAATGGATAAAAAAGGCCTTGGTATTTGATTTTCATAAGATTTTAATAGATTTTAAAAGAAAATAAAATATAGTAGTCATTGAATTTCCAACCCTACAAAATATTATTATACAAAACTAACTTAACTATAGGTCGAATTACAATTTCATACATCATGTTTAAAACATGACAATGTCTTACCTCAACTTATAATTTCGTTACAATGCCATTCATTAATTTTTTCGTTAATTTAACGTGGCACACGCGGGACCCACTATTTTGCTAATTAGAATAAAAAATTAATTGTTATTTATTTAACAATTAATATTCATTATAAACAAATACTTTTTGGGCCCCCTCATCACAATCTCTCTCCATCAAAATCTCCCTTCTCTCCCAACGCGCCCCAGAAACGGGCACCGGCCAGCCGGAAAAATTTCCACTCCGTTCACCCTAAAATCTCTACCAAAACACACGAAATTTATCTCAAAACGAAGATCACATATCAAAGAGTAGAAATATAGCCTTTTTACACCAAGTCGTGCCCGGATAATGGCCTGAGAACGGCCTGAGGTTGTCAGCCCGAAACTGGGCTTTTGGTTTCTCGCGAAATCGAGGCAGATTCAAGTCTCCCATGCTCGAATCTGAACCTCAGGATGAAGGGGAAGTGATCCGTGGTCCAAGTCTTGTCCAATCTGACCAAGAATTGACGGATTTTCATCTGAAAACTACGAGGTGGTTTAGGGTTTAGTTCATCTATGTTGTTGTACAGAGAAGATGAGAGGTTAGAGAAACTGGGGAGTTGAGCGTTGTTATGAACCACACCAGTGCCGGAGAATCAACCACACCGGTAGCTAAGGTACAGGAATGGCGAGAGAGAAAATATAGAAGAAGCAAAAGGAATATTCAATTAATTTCAATTCTGCCTTACAATCCATTCGAAAGCATGTATATCAACAATGCCATCAGGACCACAATACTAACAATTTCTGAAACCGTCTAATAACTATTGACCCTTTACAATTGAAACCTCATACTTATAACTCCTTACAATTTAGTCCTTAAACTAACTAAAACCTTCCTGTGATTAAGACAATCTCAACCAGTTCATAACAATACCTCTCCCTTATAGAACCTTGTCCTCAAGGTTTGTTCAAAAAGAAAATGTAGGGTATTTAGCCTTAAACTCATCAAAATCTTCCCAAGTAGCCTCTGATTCCTCCTGATCTTGCCACTGCACTAGCAACTGGACCCCTGCAACATTGCCCTTCTTGTAAACCCTCATCTCCAACACTGCAACTGGTATGTTCCCTGCCAACCCATCGTCGACCACCTGAGGTAGGACATTCTGAGGTTCCACATTACTTCCCAAATGTTTCTTCAATTGACTCACATGGAACACAGGATGAATCTTGGTGCTATGTGGCATTTTCAGTTTATATGTTACCTTACCAATCTTTTCGCAAATTTCATAAGGACCAAAGTACCTTGGTTGAAGCTTATGATAGTTGTGAGGGGCTAATGCTTGCAACTGGTAAGGAACCAACTTAAGGTACACAGAATCTCCAACTTCAAATTGCCTTTCAGATCTCTTTTTATCATACTGCACCTTCATACGATTCTGAGCCATCTGCAGGTTGTGTTTTAAGACAGATAAGATCTTGTCCCTTTCCAAAAGACTTTGTTCCACTGTTGCCACCCTTGCAGTACCAAATTCATAGGGTATAATTTGAGGAGGTGGGAAGCCATAGACTAACTCAAAAGGTGTGAATTTGGCAGATGAATGGTAGGAAGTGTTAAAGCACCATTCAGCCCACGGAAGCCATTGAACCCATCTCCGTGGTTGACCTCCAACAAAACTCCTTAAATAGGTTTCAAGGCACCTATTCATCACTTCAGTTTGCCCATCACTTTGGGGGTGATATCCCGAGCTCATACACAGTTTCGACCCTTGCAGTTTGAACAATTCCTTCCAGAAGGCACTAATGAAGATAAGATCTCTATCACTGACCACTGAACTTGGCATGCCATGTAGTTTTAGGACATTATCCACAAAGGACTGAGCTACTGTGATTGCAGTGTAAGGGTGAGCCATCGCTATGAAATGAGCACTTTTGGATAATCTGTCAACCACCACTAATATCACAGATTTGCCCTTGCATAGGGGTAAACCCACTATGAAATCCATGCTAATGTCAGTCCAAATTCTTTGGGGAATTGGTAAAGGTTGCAGCAACCCTGGTGGGGCAATGGTCTCCACTTTGTTTTGTTGGCACACTTGACAATCTGCCACATAGTGTTGGATATCCTTCTTCATTCCTTGCCAATAGAAGCTCCTCTGAATTCGATGGTATGTCTTGAGAACTCCTTGGTGACCAGCCGAGGGGGTACAATGATGCTCCTCTAGAATTTTACTTCTCCACTCCGAGTGAGGGCTTAACACCACCCTCTTCTTGTAGAGCAAGAATCCATTTTCAACAGTATACTTTCCCAAGGTAGAGTCCCTTGTGCCCTTCATTGCATAGTCACCCACTTCTTTTTTCTTTGCTGCAATCCATTCATCTTGTTCAGTACTTCTCCGCAAGTCATCTATCCAGCCATTGTAAGGGTAAGAAATAGCATTACATTCCTTAATGGACTGAGGAACAGGTTCCGGTAATTAAGGCACTCCATGTAACCGAGACAAAGCATCTGCAGCTGCATTTTGGGATCCATTTTTGAACTGTATCTCATAATCATACCCCAATAACTTGGAAACCCATTTCTGTTGGAATGCAGTGTTAGCTCGCTGATGTAGAAAGTATTTAAGACTACTATGATCAGTCTTGATTATGAAATGTCTTCCCTGCAAATAATTCTGCCATTTCCTTACTGCATAAACCACTGCAATTAATTCTCTCTCATAAGTAGAGAGTGCTTGATTCCGTGGACCAAGTGACTGGCTAGAAAAAGCAATGGGTCTTCCGCCTTGTTGCAGCACAGCTCCGATGCCACAACCAGAAGCATCACATTCCAATTCAAATGGTTTAGAGAAATCTGGTAGTGCTAATACTTGTGAAGAGGTCATTGCTGTCTTAAGTGTGTCAAATGCTTTTTGAGCTTCTGCATTCCAATGAAACCCCTCCTTCTTTGTCAAATGGTATAGAGGCTGGCAAATTTTGCCAAAGCCTGGCACAAACTTTCTGTAGTAGCCTGTTAAACCCAAGAATCCTCTCAACTCCTTAACAGTTTTTTGTGCAGGCCAAGTTTGTATGGCTTGGATCTTCCCAGGGTCCGGTGCTACTCATTCTCGTGAGATAATGTGTCCCAAATACTCCACCCGCGTTTGCCCAAAGGAACATTTAGACTTTTTGAGAAAAAGTTGATTGGTCTGCAATATCTCAAAAACTGCCTTCAAGTGAGCTAAATGAGCTGCCCAGGTCTTATTGTAAATAAGGATGTCGTCAAAGAAAACCAACACAAATTTCCGCAAGTAGAGCTTAAATAAATCGTTCATTAAACTTTGGAATGTGGCAGGGGCATTTGTAAGCCCAAATGGCATTACTAGGAACTCATAATGGCCCTCATGAGTCCTAAATGCAGTTTTTTCAATGTCTCAAGGCTGCATTAATATCTGGTGATATCCAGATCGCAAGTCCAACTTAGAGAAATAGAATGATCCATGCAACTCATCCAACAGATCGTCAATAAGGGGTATGGGGTACTTGTCCTTAATAGTGAGGGTATTGAGCTCTCTGTAGTCAATGCACATCCGCCAAGTGCCTTCCTTCTTCCTCACTAACAAAACAGGAAAGGAGAATGGGCTATGGCTTCGCCTTATGAAACCTGCCTCAAGTAATTCTTGAACTGCCTTCTCGATTTCAGTTTTCTGTAACGGACCATAGTGGTATGGTCGAATGCTTGGTGGTTTGGCCCCTTGCACAAGGGGAATGTGATGGTCGTGGTCTCGCTGTGGAGGTAACGTAGTAGGCAAAGCAAAGATAGACTCGAATGCATTCAACAATTGTTGTAGTTCCTGCAACTGTACTGAATTCAATTCACAGGATTCTAACTTTTCTGTTTCCATGGAATACAAGAACAACCCCAGATTAGAGTTAGCTAACTCCTTATCCAGTTGATGCAGTGATACTTCTTGAATTCCTGAGGTAGTGGAATTTTGATGAGACAATTTATAAGTGTGGTGGTCCTTTGTGAACTCCATTGTGAGGAGTTGGAAGTCCCATAGCACAGGGCTCACGGTGGAAAGCCACTGCACCCCCAAGACCACATCACAACCACCCAACGACAATGAGTAAAAATCTGTGTGACACTGATACCCTGCAAGAGACAATTCCACAGCCCTGCAACAACCAGAACTTATCACCTTGCCGCCATCAGCTATCATGACCTCAAAGGACTTGGTATTTGTTGCTTGCCACCCCCACTGTTTAAGCAATTTGGAATCAACAAAGTTGTGTGAGCTGCCCGAGTCCAGGAGTATTTTCACAGATCGACCATTAATCTGACCAAGCACCTTCATGGTTTGAGCGGGCGGACATCCATGAGTGCCATAGAAGGCACACGCACTAAGCTCCATGTTGTGCAATGCAGGTTGATCCTCCTCAATGTCATTTTCAACAACATCCGAATCCAGCACATCCATCATCAGTAGCTGCTTAAGGCTACACTTATGGCCGCTCACCCACTTATCAGTACAGAACCAACATTCCCCTCGCTCTCGCTTCCGTTGGACCTCAGCCGGGGTTAGCTTCTTAATACCAAGGTTGCGAGTGTTTGGCATAGTATAGGAGGAAGGTGTGACAGTGTTTGAAAAGGGTTTAGACGTGGTATTGGTGCGAGATGGGACCGATTTTAGCTCAGTAAGCTTAGAATCAAGCTGCACAGCAATGGCAATAGCCTCATGGACATTGGCGGGTTTGAACAGTTTGACATCATATCGCAGTTCCTTTTTCAACCCCCCTAAAAAGCAACTGCGTAACAGAAGAGGGCTAATCTCAGGTGATCGAGTAGCTAGACGGCGAAATTCCGCGATATAATCACGAAGAGGACCGAGCTGGCGAAGTTTGAAGAGAGCCTCGGCACTATCTTCGAAAGCAGAGGATCCAAACTCGCGACAAAGGGCGGTGGTAAACGCCGACCAAGTGGGAGTGGTGTTGACGCAATCCATCCAACGGAACCAGTGAAGAAGCTCACCTTCAAAATGAAAGGAGGCGGTGAGAACACGTTGAGCATCGGGGATCCCATAGAAGGAGAAGAACTGTTCGGCTTTGTAAATCCAAGCAAGGATATCATCACCGTCAGTAAATCTGGGAAAGTCGAGGCGCTGTTGCCACGGCGGCCTTGGATTCTGAGGGCCGGGATGAGGTGGTGGCGGGATCTGAGCCATCTCATGAGTAACAAGTGGATCTGGAGGAGGTGGGTGGGATGGACCTTCACCCTCACGACGAAAGGTGAGTTCATGAGTGAGCTCGCGGCGGAACTGCTCAAAATACGCCGGAAGGCGCGCATCGAGTTGGGCTGGAAGCTTGGCATCAAAAGCGGAGTTCACCGCTTCACGGATGATCGACGGAAATTCAGATTCAAAAGCAGCAAAGCGGGCATCCATGGCGGAACGAGTGGTGGGTTTGGGACGGGGCATACACGGATGGGAAAAACCAGGAACGGAGGGTGATACCAATGTTAGGAACTCAAGCCCAAAGGAAGAGCCCAACCCAAAAGACTAGTCCAATAGGTGGGAGGACCCCAAGGACTTAAGAACCCCTACACTCCCATAAGTGTAGTCAATGTGGGATCATAACATTACACCACCCTTCGGAAGACCCGACGCCCACGGCGGTAATCACGTCGCCCAGTCCCTCGTCACCAAGTCCCTTGGAGTCCATACTCCCAAGGCGGTAATCACGAGGCGGCACGTCACGTCACCAAGACCCGCAGCATCGGGCACCTAGGCTTTGATACCAATGTTATGAACCACACCGGTGCCGGAGAATCAACCACACCGGTAGCTAAGGTACATGAATGGCGAGAGAGAAAATATAGAAGAAGCAAAAGGAATATTCAATTAATTTCAATTCTGCCTTACAATCCATTCGAAAGCATGTATATCAACAATGCCATCAGGACCACAATACTAACAATTTCTGAAACCGTCTAATAACTATTGACCCTTTACAATTGAAACCCCATACTTATAACTCCTTACAATTTAGTCCTTAAACTAACTAAAACCTTCCTGTGATTAAGACAATCTCAACCAGTTCATAACAAGCGTTGAGGGAGAGAAGAAGAGAGAGTGACACAGTTGTGGTGGTGGTCTGGTGATGGCCTTTCTCTGGGGCTCGGCGTCTCTGTAAACACAGAGAAGAAAAGATGGTGAGCGTTAGGAGAGAAGGGAGAGTTTGAGGGAAAAGATGGCCGTTCTCTGGGTCAGTCGAAGCGGGCCAGAAAAGATCCGACACTTGTGTTTAAAGAGGAGGATGAAGGGGACGGAGGAGGAAGAAGGCGGCGGAGGAGGACGAAGGGGCGTTGGGGAGAAAGCACGGTTTCTGGGGAAAAAAGGAAGAAAAAGGTTTGTTTGTTTTAATTAATTTTTAATTTTTAAATAAATAACAAATAATTTTTTATTAATTAATTAATTTTTTATTCTGATTAGCAAAATAGTGGGTCTCACGTCAGCAGTTAACAGAAAAATTAATGGAAAAGTTAACTGAGGTATAACATTACAACAAAATTATAAGTTTACTTTTTTTTTTTTTTTTTTTTTTTTTTTTCTTTTTTCCTAATGTCTGCTTTTATCCTGATTTGCTTCATCAGTGAAAATTATACTTCCACTCCCATGCATGCATCCGAGTGAAATGGAATATTACACTATGGCGAAGAATTATCCTTACTGACCGTACCTGATGGAAATGGAACACATATCACATCTGATTTTAGACTGAGATATTTTTCAATGTACAGGAAAATATATAATTTGGTATTTTCAACACTTTTATTATAATATTTAACGTATCAGATCGTATTCTAGTCATCCTTAAAAATTTCCGTTAGATAGTAAAATATGTCCATTTTGGTCCGTACGATATGGCACAATCGTTGTCTGGTGAGCACAAGTTACTCAAGATAATCCCAGTTAATTAGTGCATAAATATCTCCATGATTGTCCGGTAAATGCTCTAAGAAATCAGTCAAAAGATTAGGCTTTGTCCGGTCCAGGAACAACAATGACGATTTAATATTTATATTAAGTTCTGCATTTAGTTATGGCTGACTTATTGTGTGTTTACGACTAGATGCGGTTTGTTTGATGGTGGTGCTCATTCATGTGGTGGCCGTAGTACTCACGATTCAAGAATTATGAATCCGTTTAGGGTTTAGATTGTCTGGCTTGGCAAGAAATTGAGCTTAAAGCGACATGAGTTTTTGGTTGTGTTTATGTTAAAGTTTTTTTCTCGTAAAGTTCTTGTTTTTGTTTGTTCGCTATATTTTATGCGTGTTTGATATACTTTTTTCTCTTTCTTGATAGGAGTTTTAATGAAATTTATTTAATAAAAATAAAAATAAAGAAAGAAAAAGGCAATGCATAAATGTATAGGGACAGATTTGTATTTATTCGTTTTTTTTCTCGAGAGAACAATTGCGCATATTCATGGACCATGGTACATCCAATTCCCAGCTGCCCTACAATCTACTTCTCTCCTAAAACCAGAAAGTGAATCCAAGAAATTTAAGCGAAAACATAACTTCTGCTTGGTAAAATGATCGAGGGTTCTCTCTTTTTATGAACTTTCGATACAGACTTACCAGCTCCAGCATTACCGAAACAAAACACTATTTTAACAAATGAACAATAATCATCCCCGGCGAAATCATAGACTTGAGAACCTTGCAAACAACAATGCTCGTCCGCAAGCAGGTAGGCCGGGTTTTGCACCTGCTATCCGATATTTTCTCACTTGGTGTATAGAACGTCCTCCCATGGGTGGCGGTATAGGGGCTGCTTCAACCTCTTTTGGTCGAATGTGTGCCTGAGATTTAGATCAGAGAGAGAATCGGTCAGGTAAAAGTATATTCTACAGATATACTAAGGAATGCATCATATACAAAGCAGAAAATGATGTCCTATCTCCCTTGTTTATCTGACCCTCCATCGAATGGAAGTGAACCTCATTGTCATGAAGGACAATCTGTTGTTTTGTGTCTCAATGACAAAGCCAGGTATCTAATCCTATATGTATATGCCAACGAATCGGAAATTGACTACTTGAACTATTGAGTCCTATCTGTATCAGTGACCATATGACCGTAGGACCACCTAATCTGTTTAGAGACAGTAGGAAGTCCAAGTACATTATCTTTGCGTGTAAAGGAGGGAGATATGTGCCTATGTAGAATCAGTGTTCTAATGGTTGATGTGTCGTTATCTAGATTTTGATTGTACCTGAATAGGCAACAACATAAAACTAACCTACAATTATCTGCGGAAAAAAAATATATAGTTAATCCTAGCCAGTACTCACCCAATCAAACCAATAGAACGTGCCAGCACGAAGAGCCCATTCAGATATCCAATCTCAACGATCTCGTCAATCTCTGGCTTGGTGAACATTCCACTGCCAGCAAGAAGATCCAGGAACAAGGTTCCAATTGCGCCATCAACGTTGAGGACCAGATTGTTAGCCTTCGAGAGTGTGTAGGTTTCAACTTGTACGGCATATTCCATGTACTTGACAGAAGGGAAATTAGTGCGTGCAAACGCTTGTAGAAGCTCTACTCTCTTATCTCTGTTGTCCCCTCTCTTGATCCTTTTCCACAGCAAAGAAACAAAAACTACCATCAATAAGATTTCTAATGCAGCTACTAAAATGCATATACTGAAACCCGAAGATTATGCTGTTGTATAACTTTGAAAACTCTCAATACCTGTGCCCAATCCCTGGCACACGAATGCCCTTCTTCTTCATACTTTCGACGAATTCATAAGGTGTAAGGTTCTGATAAAACACAGCAAGGAGACAACTTGTTAGCGTTAAAACATCATTTTAAGGTTTAAGTGTTCAATCACTACACATAAAATGCCCAATAAGGCTCACCCTGTCATAGGCATCCTTGAAGTAACGAGCAGCGTCATCAACGGCACCACCAAATCGTGGTCCAATTGTGAGCAAACCTGTTTCAGAAGCTCATCTTGAGTATTCCGCAACCAAACTATCTCCAATCCTTAAACTAGAAAACTTTATAATAACAAAGGATAGAACATTCTGTGGGAATATATCTACCTGCAACAAGGCTGGAAACAAGATCCTTGCCAGCCCTAGCAGTTACTATTGTGTTGTGAGCACCAGAGACGCAAGGACCATGGTCGGCACATAACATGATGCAAATCTGATGTCAATGTCATACTCATTAGTGAATGAGCTAGTATACACATATTTGCTTAGCTAGACTTTAAATCAACAAAAATTAAACAAAAGGGTAAAAAAGTGCAAATAAGCAGCAGTATAGTAATAAGAACCTACCTCAATAAATTTAGTACAGTAACTGGGAAGGCTGCGCTTGAACCATAAAAGAGAGATAACATCACCCACACCATAACCCTGCTCAACAATGGAAGACATAGGTACACCACCATAGCATGGTTCCTCACCTGCAAAAATGATTAAAATTAGAAGTCAATGAAACTGATGTCCTTTATCAAACACATCAATCATATACAGGAAGATTGTTTAATGTAATGCATACCTCTGTCATCAGAGATCGTGGATATAATATGAGTTGGAGCACGAACTTTTCCGCTCTTAATTGCAGAGTTAAGATCTTCAGGGATTTGTGGAGGCTTGAATTCCTTGACTGGTGCAATCTTCCCTTGCTCAACCTGCACAAATAACCAAAACATGTTAGTCAGCCACAGATCCTCATGGATTTACATAACTCAGTCAAGCAATCTTTGTGCAGTTTATCAAGGCATGCTGTAATTACCAGGTTTTCAAATGTTTCCTTGATAGCAGTTTCCAGAGCTTCATATGAACTGGGAACAACAGCACCAGCATCCCTCAAGGCTTGATTCTTTGCTTGTGCAGATTCCATCTCACCACCACTTTTTGCGCCCTAATTTAGACGATATCAAGGAAGAATTAGAATTTTTAACCCTCTTAACAGTCTTGGGAAGAGATTAGTAAAGGGAAACTGAGATGATAACTTACAGCATGACCAAATTGTACTTCGGACTTGAAAAGCCTTGCACAAGTTCCACTAACCCAAGCAACCACTGGTTTGGTAACTTTTCCCTGTTTCAAAGCTTCAACTAAAGAATACTCGTCTCTCCCACCAAGTTCTCCAAGAACAACAATAAGTTTAACCTGCACAAGATCAGAAAACCATAATGTCAAGTTTCAGAATACTGGCATCCTCATACAACATGCAAATCGTGGACAGTCCCTCAAAAGAAGTAATGAAATCGTAATGTACCTGGGGGATATTGTTAAACCGCAGAACATGGTCAGAAAGAGTAGAACCTGGGAACACATCACCTCCAATAGCAATACCTGAATAGTTTCAAGACATACCAAAATTGTATTAAAACCTTGTTCAAATATTAAGTCAGCTATTAAAGCAAAATTAAATAGATCAAATGTGGATACCTTCATAAAGTCCATCTGTTACACGAGCTACAGTATTGTATAACTCATTAGACATGCCACCCTGCAATACCAAAAAAATTTCTTTTGTAAGAATTCTAGAACACAAACTTTCTTGACACAGCACACCAAATTGGAGTTTGAATAACTATGTGGCAACTCATGGCACATTAAACATAAGGGCATAGAAGAGAAATCAATGCACTCGATTCCAATTTGCTAAACATTTTAAATATAGACATTCTAATAATCTTATGAATGACCAAATTATCTGAAAGTTTACGATGCTGGAATAGCTACATACAGATTTGGAGACAAAACCAACAGATCCGGGCCTGTATAGCTTGCAGTGAATAATGTTATCAATGGTTCCAGCAGTGTCACCGATCTTAAAAGCTCCAGCTTGAATTCCTCCAACGGTAGCTGGGCCAATGACAACCTACAAAAGATACGATGATTAAAGTTAGTATCGCTAGTTCATTCTCCAAGTCAGTGAAATTAAGATGACTTTGCATCAATTGTCTAACCTTGTTGTTTGCCCGTGCATATGCTATCAACTGCTTAGTGTCCGACTCAGGAACACCTTCAGCAATGATTGCCACAACTCTAATGGTTGGTTGCTTCAGAGCAGCCATGGAAGAAGCGGCAGCACTGCAGATATATCAACATATATTCATCGTTAGGTACAATCATAGAAGTTTCGCACTCCAAGATACTAATAGAACGATCACTGACCTTCTGTATGAAGCAAAGTTAATGAAGACATCGGCAGTAGGATGAGCAGCGCAAGATGCTTCAATGCTGCAACAGTTATCAACACGACGGTCAGATAATCTCGAAACAATAGATAAAGAATGACAATTTGACTAATAACATAATTTGAATATTTGGTTATGAAAAATTAAAATTAACCATGCATATATATTATACACAAGGTTGTGGCTTGCAGCCAAAAAAGGTGAAATCTAGGAAGAGGATGAGAGAATAGCGACTTACTTTGAGTGCACTGGTATGGCAATTTCCTCCTGACCGAAAAAGAGCTTCTGAAATCCCTCAGAACCGGGGTTAATGATTCCAGCAACCGAAGGTGTTTCCCTCCCTGTAACAAACCTCAGTTACTACATTTACAACTTTTTCAAAAACTAAAAACTATAACTAAGACCAAGTCCGAAATCAAAATTGGAAATTGATACACACCGCAAAGGAAGTCAAAATCGAGCATGCGCTGGATTGGGAGCTGCTTGTAGTTATAGAACAGCGCCTGAGTGGTGCGCGAAAAAAGTTGTCCGGTGGCCATGGTTTTCGGGTCAAGGCAACCTCCGGCTTCTGATCACTGAATAAGAAACCAAACCATCAAATACTAATTCATTTCATCGCGATCACACATCAATTACACGATCCAAACAAAATTCATAGCTCTTGTTCTGAAAATTACAGTTTAGGATTAGCAGAACAATTACAGGTAAGCACGTCAAATCAAATGGTGAAGTTAGGTAGAACTGTTGGTCAAGTTTCTGTTAGAAAAAAAAAAGCACACCTAATGCCAAACAGATATGCAGATATGGTTACCAAACAGATCCCTACGCAATGTGCCAACCAAACCGCAACCAAACAAGACCCAACAACCCAATTATCCAAGAAAGGAGAAGCGGAAGCAGATCTTAATCTGTCCGGAACAATCCTAATCACTATATGTACAACAAATCAAGCAAAACAAACAAAAGAATGGATAAAAATCCGGGAAATTTGAAGTCCGGACAGGAAATGGGATCCTGGAAACGGAACAAAACAGCGGACCTCTCCTAATTTAATCCACCGGAAAACCGAAGTAAAATCCAGAGTAAAAAAATAAAGAGAGGAATTGGAGCTTACCTGATTGT